TTCAACGTTCTTTTTTGATATAAGGGATTTTTTTGTTTTTATGTAGTTAAGTCTTTCATTTATGTTTTTGGCTTTTGGGGTTATGCCCGGAAAGCCTTGGCTTATCCATGGGCCTTTTACAAGTGTAGCCTCTCATTTACCATTCCTATCGAGTATTTCATCAATTGCAAGTTTTTCACATTTTTAATCTCTGAAGCTGGGATGGTGCTCAGGTAGCAGTCATTGCCTGCTGCACATCAGGGTGTGCAGAAAACATCAGTGACTTGTCAACAGAAGTCCTGGAGACGACAGCGCAGTATTCTGTAAGAAATGCTGCAACAGGCCGGGCCCAGTGGCTCACGTCTGTAATCCCAGCACTTTGGGAGGCCAAGGCAGTCAGGAGTTCAAGACCAGCCTGGCCAACGTGGTGAAATCCCATCTCTACTAAAAATACAAAATTAGCTGGGCATGGTGGCGGGCACCAGTGATCCCAGCTACTCTGGAGGGTGAGGCAGGAGAATTGCTTGAACTGGGGAGGTGGAGGTTGCAGTGAATCGAGATTGCACCATTGCACTCCAGCCTGGGTGACAAGAGCAAAAATCTGTCTCAAAAAAAAAAAAAGAAAAAAAAAGAAAAGAAATGCTGCAATATCACCTGTTTCTTCTTCCTGCTGGGCACAGAAGGAGATAACATTTCTCAGCCTCCCTTGCAGTTAGGAGTGGCTGTGTGACCAGGTTCTAGTCACTGGACTGTGGGTGGAGGTGATGTAAGTGCCTTCCCTGGTTGGTCCATAAAACCTCCCACACAATCTACTACTGTCTTTCTTCCTGTCTGCTGTCAGAGGAGCTGGCAGTGGCTCTAGAGGATGGCAGAAGCAGCTGAGGGCCCTGAATGGCCACATGGGAGGCAGCTGGCTAACCAGGAATTCTCATTGCTCTTTGTGTAAATAAGTAATATACTTCCATTGTGTTCAGCCACTGAGGTTTGGAGTTATGTTCCTTAGAGCAGCTAGCATTGCTGATACCTAACTGATACCTTTGTCTTCATTCTGACTTTAATCCAAATTCCTCTAGACTGGGTTTAGCGTTTTATCATTAGCATGATGTTGACTCTTGATTTTAGATAGATAGACTTTATCCTGTGCTCTTGTAACATCAAGTCTTAGTATTGGAGTTATGCAAACTGTATACAATTAATTGGAAATTTTTTAACTTTTTTCTAAGCTCTGGGAGAGGTTGCATAGCATAGGAATTAACTGTTGGCCAGGTGCGGTGGCTCACGCCTACAATCCCAGCACTTTGGGAGGCCAAGGCGGGTGGATCACGAGGTCAAGAGATTGAGACCATCCTGGTCAACATGGTGAAACCCCATCTCTACTAAAAATACAAAAATTAGCTGGGCATGGTGGCACACGCCTGTAGTCCTAGCTACCTGGGAGGCTGAGGCAGGAGAATTGCTTGAACCTAGGAGGTGGAGGTTGCGGTGAGCTGAGATCGCACCATTATACTCCATCCTAGGTAACAAGTGCGAAACTCTGTCTCGAAAAAAAAAAAAAAAAGACAGAAATTAACTGTTGGGTGAAACTGACAAAATTCATCCTAAGAACTGTCTGGGTCTTTTTGTAAGGGCTTTAATAAGCTTTATTTTCTTTTTTTGAGACAGAGTCTTGCTCTGTTGCCCAAGCTGGAATGCAGTGGCACAATCTCAGCTCACTGCAGCGTTCACCCCATGGGTTCAAGCAATTCTCATGCCTCAGCCTCCTGAGTAGCTGGCACTACAGGTGACTGCCACCATGCCTGGCTAATTTTTTTTTTGGCATTTTTAGTAGAGATGGGGTTTCACCATGTTGGCCAGGCTGCTCTTGAACTCCTGACCTCAAGTGATCAGTCCACCTTGGTCTTCCACAGTGCTGGGATTACAGGCATAAGCCACTGTGCCTGGCCTACTTTCTTTTTTTTTTTCTTTCTTTTTTTTTTTTTTTTTTTTTTTTTTTTTTTGAGACGGAGTTTCACTCTTGTTGCCCAGGCTGGAGTGCAATGGCGTGATCTCGGCTCACCGCAACCTCCGCCTCCTGGGTTCAGGCAATTCTCCTGCCTCAGCCTCCTGAGTAGCTGGGATTACAGGCACGTGCCACTATGTCCAGCTATATTTTTTTGTATTTTAGTAGAGACGGGGTTTCACCATGTTGACCAGGATGGTCTCGATCTCTTGACCTCATGATCCACCCGCCTCGGCCTCCCAAAGTGCTGGGATTACAGGCTTGAGCCACCGCGCCCGGCCTTTTTCTTTTTCAAACTAACTTTTGTTATAGACTAAATTGTGTTCCCCCACAATTCATAGGTTGAAGGCCTAAACTCCAATATGACTGTGTATGGAAACAGGGTCCTTAAGGAGGTAATTAAGGTAAAATGAGGTCATAAGGGTTGGGCCTTCATGCAATATGACTGGTGTGCTTATAAGAAGAAAGACACCAGGGATGTATGTGCACGGGGCAAAGGCCTTGGGAGGACACAGCAAGAAGGTGGCTGTTGGCAAGCCAAGGAGAGAGGCCTCAGGAGAACCAAGCCTGCCAGCACCTTGAACTTGGGTTTCCAGCCTCCAGAACTATGAGAAAATAAACTTCTGTTGTTTAAGCCACCCAGTCCAGTCTGTGGTTTTTTTAATGGTAGCCCTGGCAGGCAATTACAATTTTTGTTTTATCTGTTTTTCATTAAAAAAAGAAAATAGAAAAAGAAAGCCATCCATAACTCTACTACCCAGGAATAACCATTGGTGAAATTGTGGTAAATATCCTTGTAAATACACACTGACATTTACATATTTACTCACATAAGTGGGGGCCACTCTCTATATATACCAATTTGTAACCTGCTTTTTTAAAAATTTAATTTAGTTAATTATTTTTGTTGTTGTTTAGAACTAAGGTCTTACTCTGTCTCCCAGGCCAGCTTGCAGTAGTGTGATCATGGCTCACTGCAGCATTGGACTTCTGGGCTCAAGTGATCATCTTGCCTCAGTCTCCAGAATAGCTGGGACTACAGACACGTGCCATTATACTGGCTAATTTTTAAATTTTTTGTAGATATCAATTCTTGCTATGTTGCCCGGGCTGGTCTCGAACTCCTGGCCTCAAGCGATCCTCCCACCTTGGCCTCTCAAAGTGCAGGGATTACAGGTGTACACTACCATGACTGGCTATGCAATCTGCTTTTTATACTTAATATCATACATATTTCCCATGTGGCCACGCACAGTAGATCACGCCTGTAATCCCAGCACTTTGGGAGGCCAAGGTGGGTGGATTACCTGAGGTCAGGAGTTTGAGACCAGCCTAGTCAACATGGTGAAACCCCATCTCTCCTAAAAATACAAAAAATTAGCTGGGCGTGGTGGTGGGCTCCTGTAATTCCAGCTACTTAGGAGGCTGAGGCAGGAGAATCACTTGAATCGGGAGGCAGAGGTTGTACTGAACCGAGATCATGCCACTGCACTCCAGCCTGGGCAACAGAGCGAGGCTCTGTCTCAAAAACAACAACAATTCCTATGATAGTATACATATTTTATATATATATATCTACTTCAGATTCCAAAAGTAACAAACACTCATTTTTAAAAGTTCTAATATAGACCAGGCATGGTGGCTCATGTCTGTAATCCTAGCACTTTGGGAGACTGAGGCAGGTGGATCACTTGAGGTCAGGAGTTTGAAGTCCAGCCTGGCCAACAGGGTGAAACCTCATCTCTACTGAAAAAACACAAAAATTAGCCAGGCGTGGTAGTGCATACCTGTAATCCACTCAACAGGCTCAACAGGCTGAGGCAGGAGAACTGCCTGAACCCAGGAGGCAGAGGTTCCAGTGAGCCAAGGTCACGCCATTGAACTGCAGCCTGGGAGACAGAGCAAGACTGTGCCTCAAAAAAAAAAAAAAAAAGTTCAAATATTATAGTAATACAGACAGTGAAAGTCTTCCAATTTCTTCCATGATCTTTTTATGTTTTCAACTCCTTTTTGAATTGGTCTGAATATTTATTTTCATAGAAAATTATCTATTTTATACAATTTTCAAATCTATTTATCTAGAGTTACAGTCTTTAAAAAAAATCTCCACCATATTTTCTTTCTTTTTTTTTTTTGCTAGTTACCCCTCACCTGGATAATTTTTTTTTTTTTTTTTTTGAGACTGAGTCTCACCCCCTCACCCACTGCAACCTCTGCCTCCCGAGTTCAAGCGATTCTCCTGCCTCAGCCTCCCAAGTAGCTGGGTCTACAGGCGCACGCCACCATGCCTGGCTAACTTTCTGTATTTTTAGTGGAGATGGGGTTTCACTGTGTTAGCCAGGATGGTCTCGATCACCTGACCTCATGATCCACCCACCTCGGCCTCCCAAAGTGCTGGGATTACAGGCATGAGCCACCACACCTGGCAAATCTCCACCATATTTGAGATCTATCACTTTTCTTTGCATCCAGAGAGAACCACCCAAGGAGTTTGATATACATTTTCTGGCACCTTCTTCCCCAGCATCGACCCATCCTTCCAGGTTCTGCTAAAAGGCAGCCTCCTCCAAGGCACCTTCCAGGTCCTTGGACAGAACCACTCTCCCCCATCCCTGTTCCTACATACTCCTCCCTGCAGCACCTGTACCTTTCCTCCCTACACTAAAACACCACGAGAGGCAGCTGGAGGTGGTAGAAAGAACAGGGACTGAGCTGGGCTTGAGTCTGAGCCTTGCCACTTTTCTTTTGGACCTATTAACATCCGTGAGCACTGATACTCTCATCTGTAAAATGGGATGACGATTGTACCTACCTCCCAGGGTTGAGATGAGAATTAAATGAGGTACTGCAAGAAAGGTCCCTTGTACTTACTATTATATTTGATGTGAGTGTGCAGTTCCTGGTCCACTGCTTCCTAAGGCAAAGCCCAGAGCCAGGTTTTCAGTAGCCCCAAGACACACTGACTAGAAATCCACAGGTGCCCTGAGAGGCCATGCCCAGTACCTGGCCAGTGGGCAAGACCTTCCCACACTTGGATTTTGTTCTCTGAGACCCAGGAACCTCTGGGCAACGGCTGGTTTCCTATCCTCTCATCTGATGCCTGGTGTGGCTTCCGGCCTGCGGGATGGAAGCCAGAGTGGTAGTTAATGAAGTAACACTTCTGCTCAAAAAATTAAAAGTGGAATCATAATCCAACATTTCCACTGTGGCTATATATGTACTTAAAAGAATTGAAAGCAGGATCTTAAAGTGGTATTTTTGTTCATAGCATTATTCACAATAGCTATAAGATGGAAATAACCCAAGTGTCCACTGACAGATGAATGGATAAACAAAATGTGGTGTGGACAGACAGTGGAATAAGAGGAAGCTTCAAAAGGGAAGGCAATTCTGACATGTGCTATAATGTGGATGAACCTGGTAGACATCACACTAAGTGAAATAAACCAGTCACCACATAAGTGGTGTGATTCCACTGACGTAAGGTACCTAGAGTAGTAAAATTCGTAGAGACAGAAAGGAGAATGGTAGTTACCAGGTTGGGGGTTAGAGGGAGATGGAAAATTATTATTTAATGGGCACAGAGTTTCAGTTAAAGTGTAACAGTTCTAGAGATGGATGATGGTGGTGGTAATACAGCAATGTAAATTACTTAATGCTACTAAACTGTCCACTTAAAAATGGTTAAGATGGGCCAGTTCGGTGGCTTACACCTGTAATATCAGCACTTTTGAAGGCCAAGGCAGGCAGATCACCTGAGGTCAGGAAATTGAGACCAGCCTGGTCAACATGGTGAAACCCTGTCACTACCAAAAATACAAAAAATTAGCCAGGAGTGGTGGGGGGTGCCTATAATCCCAGCTACTGGGGAGGCTGAGGCAGGAGAATCGCTTGAACTCAGAAGGTGGAGGTTGCAGTGAGCTGAGATCGTGCTACTGCACTCCAGCCTGGGCAACAAGAGCGAAACTCCATCTCAAAACAAACAAACAAACAAAACAAAACAGAAAAAAAAGGTTAAGATGGTAGATTTTTTGTTATGTGTACTTTACCACAATTAGAAAAAAATGCTCTGAGTCTCTGAGGCTTTGTAGTTACCCAGGCTGGGGCACCACCTAGAGAACGGTGCCTACTGGGCATGGAGGGAATAGAGCCCTGACTGATCTGCCCCCAGCTGCCCTGTGGTGTCCTGGCCCATGCCTTCTCCTCTTTGGGTCTCACCTGTCAAATGCCAAATAGGGTCATGAAATGGAAGATGTCGAAGCTTCCTCCTGGTCCTGATGAGTGAGCTAAGATGAGAATTAGAACAAAAGCATGTGCTTTTCAAAAAGCAGATGGAGAATTAACAATACAATTGAAAATCACATTCACTATACTAAGATTAAAAACATTCTTTAGAAACTGGGCTTATTAGACGACATACTTCCTGTATTGGGTGGGAAGGGGGGGGGCCGGGTCACTGGTGCTCTCTGTAGGGGGCAAGCAGGTGAAATGATTATGAAATATGTCAAGTAAATGGTCCTTTTTTCTCGCCAGGAGATAAGGAAAGGTAATTTGGTCTGTCAGTTGAATACACAGAAGACGTCATGGTCAACTGCATTAATACTGAATACTTTGTCCAGAGTCACAGAGCTCAAAGAAATTACAGACTCTTTCTCCTGTGAATTCTGGCATGAATCTCAGCAGACCTTTTCCCACCTGAATTCACAAGAGAGATTAATAATAAAAGGCAGGGCCGATGGTGGGACCAGAGCTGCTTTTCCCTCGCACCTGGGACCCCCTCCTCCAGCCACCCATCCAGCCTCATCTCTCCCTACACCCTTCCTGGTCCCGCTTTAGTCCAACCCAACCCCAGTTGTCCTGCTCTCCCCTCTTCCTATGGGCTCCTGTCCTGTAGGTGCCAGTCAGAGACCACCTGCCCCAGCCACCTCCTCCGGGACGTCTCTCTCCAGTCCCAGTCACCTTCCCTTCCCTCTGACTGGTGACCCCTCTGCTCGTGTGGGGCTGGGAGGCACCTGGGAAGTGAGGCCCACAAACGTGTCAGAGATCTCGGCCTCTGGGAAGGTGGGAGGGCTACTGATCTAAGGACCAAAACCTTCTTTTGCATTTGTGAGGACCGTGTGTCCCTGTCTCCTTTCCCTAAACACCTCAGACCTCCCTGCAGGGCAGACTTGCCCAGCCAGTCTCCCCCACAGTGTCCAGCCCGGGGTCTGGCACTTAGCAGTGAAAGGGGCAAGGTCGTGAGGCTGCTACAAGCTTTCTCTCCTATCATCTAGGACAAGGGTACTGGTGGTAGATTCTTTCTTTTCTGTGTTTTTTGAACTGGCAGGGGTGAAGATGTGTGGTTAGGGTTGGGAGTAGACATTAGGATCTCTCTAAACCCATTGTTAAGTTGTTAAATTGCAAGGAACCATCTTCCTCTCCACCCTCCATTCCCACAGGATGAACACGAAGCCCCACTCAGAGCCCTTGTTCCAGAGCAGGAAAAACCTTCTTCTCGTGGCTGCTTTTGGGGACTCGTCAGTCTCTGGAACAATTAAACCTCTTTCTTTTAGACTGTTTTACCCAATTAATTTTATTATCAGTTAATTATATATTACCATCTTAAGAAAATGAATATTTGCCCAGTTGCTTAAGTTAAATCATTAAATATGTACGTATTCCTTTCTTTCAATGCACATCTGTTATCTCTTACAGATGGAGAAGACGTATTTGGAGCCATCTGTGTCTCTGAAACAGACCCCCCACCACCGCCCATACAAAAATGCCTTCTTGGCCCTAGGAGAAGGCTCGTGTGGGGCTGGGAGGTGCCTGGGAAGTGAGGCCCACAAACATGTAGAGATCTCGGCCTCAGGGTAGGTGGGAGAGCCACTGTCCTAAGGACCAGCTTGGCAGAATCTGGGGTGAGAGGAGGCAGGTACAGCCAAGAGCCAAATGCATGAAGGTGTGTGAATGTGGAACCGCCCTTAGAGGATAATAGTTTAAGAAACAAACCTCAGGGCTGGGCGTGGTGGCTCACATCTGTAATCCCAGCATTTTGGGGGGCCAAGGTGGGAGGCTCACTTGAGACCAGAAGTTTCAGACCAAGCTGGGCAACATAGTGAGACCCTGTCTCTGGAAAACAATACAAACAAACAAAAATTAGCCAGGCTTAATGGTGCACACCTGTAGTCTAAGTTACTCAGGAGGCTGAGGTGGGAGGATCCCTTGAGCCCAGGAGGTAGAGGCTGTAGTGAGCTGAAATCGTGCCACTGTACACTGCACTCCAGCTTGGGCAACAGAGCGAAATTCTATCTCAATAAAAAAAGAAAAGAAACAAATCTCAATTGCGGTAGGCATGGTGGCTTACATCTGTAATCCCAGCACTTCGGGAGGCCAAAGTGGGAGGATCTCTTGAGCCCAGGAGTTTGAGACCAGCCTGGGCAATGTAGTGAGACTCCATTTCTAATAAAAAAAAAAAAAATTAGCCAGGCCATAATGGCACACACCTGTAGTGCTAGCTACTTGGAAGGCCGAGGTGGGAGGATCTCTTGAGCTCAGAAGATTGAGGCTGCAGTGACCTAAGATTGTGCTACTGCACTCTGGTCTCAGCAACCGAGTGAGACCCTGTCTCAAACAAAATAGAACAAAAAGGAAACTCCTCCTGCTGCCTCTGGGTGATTGGGTGCAAAGCTCCACAGAGGTCAGCACAGTCTGGTCCCTGTGTGTGACCTGGGGCCAGTCAGCACACTTAAGCAGCCTCAGAGCCCTGGCCTGCCAAAGTTTTTAGCATTATAGGCATGAGCCACAGTGCCCAGCCAATCATTTTCTTTTCTTTTTTTTTTTTTTTTAATTTTTAAATTTTTGAGACAGTGTCTCAGTCTGTTGCCCAGGCTGGAGTGCAGTGATATGATCATCGCTCACTGCAACCTTGACCTCCCAGGCTCAACCAATCTTCTCACCTCAGCCTCTAGAGTAGCTGTGACCACAGGTGCCTTGCCACTATGCCTGGATAATTTTTTTTTATTTTGTATTTTTAGTAGAGAAAGGGTCTCCCTATTTTGCCAGGCTGGTCTCAAATTCCTGAGCTCAAGTGATCCTCCCACCTTGGCCTCCCAAAGTGTTGGGATTACAGGTGTGAGCCACCCCACCCAGGTAAGAATTTTCTTAATAACAAATTAGATGAGACATCCCAATTTTTTCTTGTAGTGAGATTTGGTTATAATTCACTCAATAAACACCTAAGCACTTTCTTGGCTGGGTCCTGGGGAAACAGTGATAAATCAGATTTCCTCTCGACCCCAAAGATCTCCCACTGAGATGGAGAGATAGGCATGTGAATAAGAATATTCAATTTATATTCTTATAAATACATAGAGGGACTTGGGCTACAGCATATATTTTTACAAGATTCCTGGAAGCACAAAGTAGGGAGTGACTGGCTCTGCATAGAGAAATCAAGGAAGGCTTCTGTGAGGAGGTGATGACTGAGCACTTTACTGCATTCTTCTGAAAAGCTTTCGTACCACGTAAGTGAAGGGATGTCACTGTATATGGCAGCCCTGTTGAGTGGGCCTTAAAGGACTCTTGGTTGCAAGTGAGAGATGCCTAACTTACTGTAGCTTAGGCAACCAAGGAATTCATTGGCTCCTGAAATGTGGAAGTCTAGGGGGAAGCAGGTATAGCTGGACACAGCAGCTCAGGCAGTGTTGTCAGGACCTTCTCTCTCTCTCTCTCTCTCTCTTTCTCCCTCTTTCTCTCCCATCTCTTGGCTCTCTCCTTGGCTTTCTTCTATGAGTTAGGCAAGATGGTGGTGGGCAGCCAGATACAGAACCTCCCAGAAAGACAGCTCTATCCAGGGAAGTCCTCCTTTCACCCAGGGACTAAAATAACAATCCCAGACAAGAATTCTGATTGGCATCTTGAGTCATACGCCTGCCTCTGAACCAATCATGTGCTAAGGGGCGGGGCAGTGATCTTTGGGATCCTCAGAGGGACTGGGTTGGAGGCAGAAGCCACCATGATTGACGGCCACATGCTGTGGGAGGAGTGACACTTGCAAACCAAATCATACATCCACTACAAAGAGCAGGAAAGACCTCTCCAGGCGACTCAGAAGGAGGTCTGTAACCAAAACATTGCCAAAAATGCTACTCCCAAGGTCTAATACCTCTTCTCTAGGTTGTTAGCAATCAAAGGGTGCTTGGAGTCCACCATTTGTTCCATGGAGCTCTTTAAAAATAATAGCAAGAGCTGATGAGCTAGACTGCACACAACTTTCTTTTAAAATCTCCTTTGCTCAGCCACAAGCCATGGGAATTAAATTTGTGTAGTGCATTTAACAGACAACGAACATTGAGCAAGGTCACAACTACATGTTGGGATTACAAGACAAGACACCGAACAGAGACCAGCCATCATCCTCAGCCTTGTTACCATAGCAGTCTCGTGTCTGCCCGTGCCTGGATTCCCCGATCTGACATCGCCCTCGCAGGCGCCGGCCGGGCAGCCTCTCATGCCGCACCCCCGGCTCCTACCATCACACCATTTCTAAAACGTGGGCCACTGCTGAGCAGTTAGAATGATAGGGAACTGCTCTGTGTGTTTTTAATGCATTTAAAAATACTTTCAGGCAGGGCACAGTGGCTCACGCCTGTAATCCCAGTACTTTGGAAGGCCAAGGCAGGCTGATTACTTGAAGTCAGGAGTTTGCGACCAGATTGGCCAACATGGTGAAACCCTGTCTCTACTTAAATACAAAAACATTTAGCTGGGCGTGGTAGTGCACACCTGTAATCCCAGCTACTCAGGAGGCCGGGATGGGAGAATTGCTGGAACCTGGGAGGCAGAGGCTGCAGTGAGCCGAGATTGCACTGCTGCACTCTAGTCTGGGCGACAGAGCAAGGCTGTCTCAAAATAACAAACAAACAAAGGAACACCTTTCAGGCCAGGCATCATGGCTCATGCCTGTAATCCTAGCACTTTGGGAGGCCAAGGCAGAAAGATCACTTGAGCCAAGTAGTTCAAGACCGGGCAACATGGTGAAACCCCATCTCTGCAAATACAGAAAAAAACTCAAAAGCCAGGTATGGTTGTGCTTGCCTATAGCCCCAGCTACTTGTAAGGCTGAGGTGGAAGGATTGCTTGAGATCAGGGAGGTCGAGGCTGCAGTGAACCATGATTGTGCCACTGCACTCCAGCCTTGGTGACAGAGTGAGACCCTGTCTCAAAATAAATAAATAGGCTGGGCGTGAGGGCTCACACCCGTAATCCCAGCACTTTGAGAGGCCAAGGCAGGAGAATAACTTGAGGTCAGGAGTTCAAGACCATCCTGGCCAACACCGTGCAACCCCATCTCCACTAAAAATACAAAAAATTAGCTGGGTGTGGTGGCACGTGCCTGTAATCCCAGCTACTTGGGAGGCTGAGGCACGAGAATTGGGAGGCAGAGGTTGCAGGGAACTGAGATCTTATTATTGTACTCCAGCACTGGTGACAGAGCAAGACTCTGTCTCAATCAATAATCAATCAATCAACCAAAACACTTTCAAGAAGGGGGTCACTGGCATCTTTTAGGCTTTTAGACCAGAGTGACATCATTTGAGAAAGACTGTTCTATTCCAACCCCGAAGTTTTATAGATGGAGAAACTGAGGCTCTTTCTCTCTCTGGGCCTCAGTTTGAAAATCACTTTTCATACTGAAAGTGATTTTAGTAGCTGGACTCAGAATTGGTCTGAGACTCCTGGTCTGACACCTTTGAATTCTGTCAGGTAAGGAACTCGGAAGGCCTGCAGGTGGCGCTGCTTCTAAAAGGCCTTCCGGACCCTTGGGCTCAATCTTCTCACTTAACCTTGGGTTTCTGATTCAGAGTGGGAAACACTGCTTTTCCGTATCTCAAAGTTGAAGGCTCCACCAAAGTTGTTCACACAAATGTTATAAGAGAAAACATTTAAACAAACTAAAATGTGATACATCCATATTTAATAGTAATCTATGAAATGTACATCTATGAAAAACTCTTGCTATCAAAAATGGCAGCTATGAACTTAAGAGATATGGCAGCTCAGATGGTTTCTTCTTTCTCCCCTGTCCAGCTTCTCAGTTCGGCCTGGCTGAGGGTACATTGTGTGCCAGAGAAGCCTAAGGGGCGCTGCCACCGTTGAGTAGAGGAAAGAATGCAGGACAGCAGGGCATGGCGGCTCAGACCTGTTATCCCAGCACCATGGGAGGCCCAGGTGACAATCGCTTGAGGCCAGGAGGTCAAGACCAGCCTGGACAACATAGTGAGACCCTGTCTCAAAAAAAGGGAATGAAGGAAGGAAGGAAGGAAGGAGAGGAAGGAAGTGAGGGAGGGAGGGAGGAAGAGAGGGAGGAATGGAAGAAATGCAGAGTGGAAGTCAATTGAAACCAACAAAGTCAGATTTCCACTCTGTGTGACTTGAGCAAATTACTTAGTCTCTCTGAGCTTTGGTTTCCTTGTCTATAAGTGACAGGAGTCTTAGTTCTCAGGCTGTGGTAGGACTGCACGTCAGTGAAAACACAGACAGCACATAGCACGGGGCACTCAGGATCAAATATTTGAAGTATTGGCTGCAAAAATTCATATGAGTTATTTGTTTGGACTACTTTGATCCTCATGTTTTCCTACATAAATAACAATAGAAAGATTGGCAGGCAGGTTGTTTTTCTTTTTTGTGTTTTTGAGACACGGTCTGCTCTTGAACATACCAGCAGCCTTGAATAAGATGTTCACAGCATCTCCGTCGGTGGGGAGGGGTTTGCCCAGATGTGCAACAGTAGGGAAGGCTGTGGAGGAAAGTAAGGAACTCCAGCTGCCTGCAGAGAATGTGACATTGCCAGAAGACCAGGAGAGTGGCGGGGCCCCTGTGAGGCTCCAGAACTCAGCACCTGCTCCTTCTTCCTGGCGGGGGAGAATCCCTGCCCCAGCAGCACACAGATCACACAGGAAGTGGGGCTTTTCCCTAAAGAAAACCTGGCTGCAGACTTAGGTAGCTCTGGATTACCAGGACAGAATCCCAGCTGAGCTGGAACTGTCCCCATCTAACTTCACTGCTCCCCATACAGGGGGACACTGAGGCCCAGAGAGGGATGACTAGTCCAGGGACACACAGGTGGCCCAGAACTCAGGCCCTGGCCTCTGTCTTGGGCCCTTCTCTGACCAGCTGTCTTTTCCACTACCTTGCAGCCATCAGGAGGTGCCTCCTCCTTTTTCTGGAAAGAAGAAAGAGTGGCTGCACAGCCCGGGGGCTGCCACAGGGCAAACCAGGTCAATGGTCCCACCCAGCCCATAGTGTCAGAGGTCCCCCTTGAAGGCCTTGGCTGGGCCATCCCTCCATGGGATGGAGAGACTGGCCCCTCCATCCCCACGGCAAGCATGCTAATAACATTCTTCTGTCACTGCTTCCTGTTTTTGGATGGGATAAACTGTTTGGCCTTTGGACAAGATTATTTTTGCACCAAACAGGATTGTTATCACTTAATTGAAAATAATTATCCAATGCAAATTGAGTTCAACTTATCTAGCTGGAAATAAAGAAGTGAGTATTTTGGGTGGTTTCACTGCTGCAAACACACGTATTTTAAGCAAACGAAAGTAACGAGATGCAGGCTACGCTTTCTGCAGGAAGCCCTGGGAAATCTGGGGGCCTTTCTTGAGTTGGCCTCTGAGGCCGGGAAGTCTGGCTCACCCCCTTGTCCACATCAGGGGTTGTTTTAATCAGTCTGTTTTAATGAGTCCGTACTGGAGAAGCTCTGACAGAGCCGGAGGCTGTGGGGGCGGCTGACTGTGGCAGGGTTGCCTGTAATCCCACACAGTTGTTCGCCCCCTACGGAGCTTATCCTGTCAGACACAGGCCCTGGCGTCCTCCAGAAACAAAAAGAAATGGTCGGGGAAAGGAGAGAGTGCTTTTAGTGTGAGTCTAATGTGGGCGGCCACGTCTCTTCCTCTGTCCTCCACTGCAGGCACTGGGCCTTGAACCACCCAGGTACCTGAGCCGAACCAAGTTCTCTGAGGCTTTCTCAGTCTCACCCACTCACTCAACTGGCCACCAACTCCATTTGCTTTCTTAAGTATTTCTTGGCTTTGTTAATTTCTTTCCACGCCCGCTGTATCGGTAACCGACCGCCGCAGCAATACTGCATAACAAATAGCCCCAGAATGTCAGTGGTCTGCAACAACAGCCATTCCTTCTCAGGGCCTGCAGCTCTACTGACCTTGGCTGGGCTCACTCAGGGGTTGGCAAGCTGGTGAACATCTCTGCTCTGTCCCTCATCCTCCTAGGGTTCACGGGCAAGCTGGACAGGTTCTTCTCATGGTGATGGCAGATGCATGAGAGGAAAAATAGAAATACGTGAGGTCTCTTACGGTCAACTTTCAGACCTAGTATCAAGACTTGTCTGCCCCATCCCATTGACTAAAGTAAGTCACAAGACCAAGCCCACAGTCTCATACAGCCAGAGTATGGACGCAGGGGGACGGAAGAATTGGGGCTAATATTCACACCTACTACTCCCGGCCACTGACCTCCCTGGGACCTCCCATCCTGACGTCCCCACCGGAGTCCTCACCTGTGGTCCCAAACTCTCTGATCTACTCTCCGTAAAGTAGCTAGTTTACTCCTTCTAAAATGCAGACCTGAGCATATTACATTTCAGATTAAAAATCCTGACAATTGCTGGGTGCGGTGGCTCAAGCCTGTAATCCCAGCACTTTGGGAGGCCGAGGTGGGTGGATCACGAGGTCGAGAGATCGAGACCATCCTGGTCAACATGGTGAAACCCCGTCTCTACTAAAAATACAAAATATTAGCTGGGCATGGTGGCGTGTGCCTGTAATCCCAGCTACTCAGGAAGCTGAGGCAGGAGAATTGCCTGAACCCAGGAGGCGGAGGTTGTGGTGAGCTGAGATCGCGCCATTGCACTCCAGCCTGGGTAACAAGAGCGAAACTCTGTCTCAAAAAAAAAAAAAAAAAAAAAAAAAAAAAAAAATCCTGACCATCCTTCTTTCATATTGGGGGGGAGGGGGTCTTCTTCCTATTTTCTGAGAATAATTGAAATCCAATTGTAAAATTACTCTTTTTAGCAATACCTCAAGGAGCCCATGAAAGATGCTGACAGTACAGTTGTCATGGTGGCCCATCTAATTGAGCGGCTCTGGTTCTCCTGTTTCTAGGGGCAGCCCTGGCTGTGTGTGCTCACACACAGCAATGCCCAGGAGTTCTGCAACCCGGACAGGAGCTGGAGCACCTGGAAGGGACCTGAGGCAAACCCTCAAGAGTGCAGGGCAGCAGGCCCCGCTGTGGGAGGGGCACCCTTTGAGCGCTGTTGCACGGGAAGGCCATGGCACAGTGCCAGGCTCATGGCAGGGACTTTACTCTCTTTCAAACTCCAACTGTGAATCCACCCAGGTGTAAACCTTCCACAGCGAGCCAGTTGTGCCTACTGAAGCTCTGTAGACAAGGACTGCTCAAAACGTCATCTGCAGACCCGTGCCACTCTGCAAACTCTTGGCTAGGTGTCCATGAAGAGGGTCAGGAAGCTCCCACCAGAATGTGCATTATTGCCACTCAGCAGGCTATGTAGGCGCACTGACGTTTTCCATAGCAAGACTTTCTCAATAAAGGAAGTGGGCACTGATTTGCTCTCTGGGGCAAGCTGCTTAACTCATGGTAACAAGGTTTGTGGCCCAGCTGCCTTCAGGCTGCTCATCTCTCCTCTGCTTCTGGGCCACTAACCTGAGGCATCCAAACACCCCTGAGAGGTTACCCAAGGGAAAACTATGAAGGCATTAGGCAAAAGCTAGTAGTTTAAAAAATCATAAATGCTATAATAAAAAATGAGGTTACCTCAATATAAGAAGAGTTAATTGGTTCAATAAGTTATATATGTTCTCTTAATGTAGTTGATTAAGAGGTTGGGGACTTTATAATAGGATGAAAAAAGCTTAGGATATAACAGGAAGTTACAACAGAAGCATGATATAAAAGGTGTGAGCAGTCTACTGTGTAACATGCAGAGAAGAAATATGTGCATACACTCACAACCTCGGACGGAAATTCACGAAAATACAAACGGGGATTTGATAGGGTGATGATGAAGTTTTCTTTTCTTTTCTTCTTCTTCTTCTTTTTTTTTTTTTTTTCATTTGAGACAGAGTCTCGCTCTGTCACCCAGGCTGGAATGCAGTGGTGCGATCTCGGCTCACTGCTACCTCTACCTCCCAGGTTCAAGCGATTCTCCTGCCTCAGCCTCTTGAGTAGCTAGGACTACAGGTATGTGCTACCACTCCCGGCTACTTTTTTTCATATTTTTAGTAGAGACCAGTTTCACCATGTTGGCCAGGCTGGACTCAAACTCCTGACCTCAGGTGATCCACCTGCCTTACCCTCCCAAACTGCTGGGATTACAAGCGTGAGCCACTGCGCCCGGCCTATTTTTCATACTTTTGGAATACAGTTCTGTTACTTTATAACGAAAAAAAATTGTAAACCTAGTAATAAAATATTTCCAACATCCAGTTGGTACCCTCTATTTTAGTGTTTCATTAGATTCCCACATTTACATATTAAACAATCATTAATTCAGACACACACATTCAGAGTTCATGATCACCCATACCCCTTCCTCCCTTCTTCCCTCCCTCCCTCCCTTCCTCCCTTCATCCTTCCTTTTCTCCATCCTTTCCTTCCTCCCTTCTTTCCTCCTTTCTTTCTCTCCTTCCAACTCTTCCCTCCCTCCCTCCTTCCTTCTTCATTCAATAAACCTTTATGGAGCACTCCCTAAGCACTGGGCCAGGCACTGCAAGGCAGCAGTGAGGAGCCGCCACTCCAGGGCCTTGTTGGAGGTGGCTGGGGCTTATCCTTGAGCTCTCTTTAATTCATCTCACAAGCATGTGCTCACTTTGCTCTGTGCCCTGGCCTAGACGACAGAGGCAGGTTCCCACTGCCTAATAAGAGAGAAGCCAGATGCATATCCAAGACACTTTTTCTTCTTCAGAAACACTGGCTAAGAGCTTAGAAACTTAATATATTCCTGAAACAAATTCAAACACTACTTTGTATGAAAGCAAAACCAACTTCCCAGAGATAAGCAAGAGGAACAGTTTGGTGCGTATTCTTCCAGATTTCTTTCTATGAATATGCAAAGACATATTTCTTTATATAAACATTTATATTTTTATATTATGTAATACAGAATATATAAATACAGGCCGGGTGCGATGGCTCATGCCTGTAATCCCAGCACTTCGGGAGGCTGAGGCAGGTGGATCACTTGAGGTCAGGAGTTTGAGACCAGCCTTGTCAACATGACGAAACCTTGCCTCTATTAAAAATACAAAAAATTAGCCAGGCATGGTGGCGTACCCCTGTAATCCTAGCTACTCGAGAGGCTGAGGCACGAGAATTGCTTGAACCTGGGAGGCGGAGGTTGCAGTGAGCTGAGATCACGCCACTGCACTACAGCCTGGGCAACAGAGAGAGACTCCATCTTAAAAAAAAGAAAAGAATATATAAATATAAATCTATTTTTATGCACTCTCTATATGCATACACACATGTTCTCAAACATCTATATATGTGTCTATATAAATCATGCAGTTTTATTTTCACTTTTAAATAAAGTTCTGTAACTTTAGTGTTTGTCGTTCTGAAGCAAAGCATACAAATGTGTGAAGTGCTGGGGACCAGCGCAGACAGTGCTGGTGCCAGATGAGGTGGCCCTGAAGGTGGGGTGGGGTGACTGTGGCATCCTTACTGTGCCCCTCGCTGGGATGGCAAGGTCTCCCCCAAGGCTTCACCAAGGTGGCGCTAGAGCTGGCCACTGACCATGATAGGATGTGGCTGGGCAGAGATGGGAGAAAAAGGGGTCCCAGGGGGCGACAGGGCAGAGTGAAGGCCTCGGGTGGAGAGGCAGCCATGCGCTCAGCCATGTGCATCCTCCACACGGAAAGCTTCCCAGGTGGTGGACGGGCCAGTGGTGCCCAGACTCATGGCTTGATTGATGCACATCCCTTCCTCCTGTCTTCCTTCCAAGGCCCCATGCAGTGGCCGCAGGCATGCCCCCCCAACAGCATCTGGAACCATGGTGGCCACATTGTTGGGAGAGGCCTGGCTTGCATTGTAGAAATAATTATTGAGGCTCCAATTCATCATGGAAACAAATGCTGTACTTGAACACTAACAAGAGAGTTGCATTTGCATAGCCCGTGTTGTTTATAACATGAGAAATTACTTCATAGGCTGAAGGGTGGGGCTGGATGGGGCTGGCAGGGCCTCAGCGTCCTCTGTCTATTCAGTCTTTAGGGGGCAAGCCAGTCACACACCCACTTCCACATTAACAGCTGGTTTCAGAAGATGAGACGCCTTTCCATGTGGGAATTTACCCTAATGCTAATCTGGATAATTAAGAAAAACCCAGCCAAAATACCCCAAAAAGATTCAGAAGAAACTACTGCTGATCTTCATAGACACATTGGCACATTTCTGCATCTTATTCTGATGGCACTCCCAAAATAACTGGTCCAGGGGTCTCCTGGGTGGCCAGTGGCAGGGGCAGGTGTCTTAGGAGGTCTTGGTCCTGGCAGCCCAGCTGCGGGCACAGGTTAAGCTGCAGACACCCTCAAACCCTTGCATGCTTGGTCCATGGAGATTTAGTCACATTCCCTTCCCTTATGATTCTCTTCCCTTCTCTGGTCTCAGTGTTGCCCTTTGTAAAATGAGGTGAGTGTGGGAGGGCAAGAAAAGGCCATTACAAAACAGATCATTAAGGAGAAGAATCATCAAAGATCATTCCCAATCAGATCTTATTTAAAAGCAAAAAGCACACTCTACTCCCAGCTTCTTGGGAGACTGAGCCCAGGAATGCAAGGCCAGCCTGGGCAACATAGCAAGACCCCGTTTCTTTCTTTCTTTTTTTTAATTCTGAGTTTTGCTCTGCTGCCCAGGCTGAAGTGTGGTGGAACGATCTCAGCTCACTGCAACCTCCACCTCCCAGGTTCAAGCAATTCTCCTGCCTCAGCCACCCAAGTAACTGGGATTGCCCGCCACCATGCCCAGCTAATTTTTTGTATTTTTAGCAGAGATGGGGTCATACTGGCCAGGTGGGTCTCGAACTTCTGACCTCAGATGATCCGCCCACCTCAGCCTCCCAAAGTGCTGGGATTATAGACATGATCCACTCTGCCTGGCCACAAGACCCCATTTCTAAACACATGCACTCACAAAACAAAACGAAACCAAACCAAGGGGAAACCAGACCAGCTAAGAACCCCTAAGC